CAGGCGAGCTCCATGTGGAGCCAGCCATGTGGCCTGGCATCCTGGGGGAGCCGTGGGACAGCCATTTCCAGAGCTCCCCACCTTTGCTCTGTGCATCCTCCTTAGCTGCTCCCCTGCGAATGGCCCCATCTGGCCTGGTCCAGGTCCTACCTGAGCTTCTGGATCTGACAGTCCTTCACACTCAGCACGCTGCCCAGCAGCTCCATCACGTTGTCCTTAAACTGGTTGTTGTCCAGTCTGAGAACAACACAAAACAGAAGCAAGAAGTCCTCAGGGCAGAAATGCAGACCTCGGGGCAGATCTATCTGCTGATGGATAATGTTGGTGGGCCTACACCTCCCATAGACACCTGAGATTTTGAGTTTCAGAACATAGAAACATGGGAGCAGTCTGACATCCCTGTTTGCTTCTCCTACAGCGACTTACCTGAGGTTGTGGCAGAAGAGGAGCTGGGAGAGCAAACTCTTACAGACATTATAAGTGAGGCAGTTGGAGAGATTTGTCTCCTCCATGCAGACATCAGAGACCTGCAGGAGATAGGCCAGAGCAGAGCAGTTCACTGGCGTTAGCATCCCAGACAAACTCTCATTCTTCATTGCTTCTTCCACAGTCTTAGCAATCTCCATGTGCTGAATTTCATATAGGCACTGCATGGTGTTCACTGTCCTTGAGGAGATAACATAGTCTGTGTTCAGGCAGCCCTGGAGAAAGCTGATTGCTTGGCTTCTGAAGCTGTTGTGCTCATCCTTCACCAGGAGCCATCCAGAGAGCAGCTTGTTCACCTGTGGGGAGAGAAGCCCAGAGAGAAAACGCACAAAGATATCAAGCTGCCCATCCTCTGCCTGCAGGGACCTCTGAACAGCACTCTTGAAGTGACTGAGGAAACCCAGCTTGGGCCAGGACATCCCACTCTCCGTGAAGAGGTCAAATATTGCCCTCTTGGCAGCTGTGTAATAGTAAATGGCTGCTAAAAACTCCTGAATGGTCAAGTGGGAGAAATAATAGGCTGTGAAGGACTGCACCTCTTCTTTGAGCAACAGTCTACCACACAAGCTGCTCTGCAGCAAGGAAAGGTCTATGCCGTACGTCTTCATGTCCTGTTCATAAAACACATACTTCCTTTTGAGCAGGCCGTAGAAAGCCAGTCTGCTCAGGTTACCCATGATTTTCTTGCTGTTGTTCACAGCTTGCTCTATCCTGAGTGTCTCTCTCTGCTTTTCTGGCCAATCACTGCTCAAAGCCATTTTAAAGTAATAGGAATAGATTTCTGATAAGGTCTTAGGAACAACTGTCATTTCTTGGGCTTGATCGGAGCTATTTTTTAGATAATAACCTATTGAAGAGCCAGAAATCCAGCAAAAGCCAGGAACTGTACACATGATGTGTAAAGATCTGTTAGCCTTGATATGACGCAGGACTTGGCTGGATAAGTCTCTGTTGTCGAGGAACATCTGGTCCAAAAAGTCTTTCATCTCTGCAGCTTTGAAACCTCTTATTTCTGTCATGCGGTCAACAAGGCCGCCGGGGATTTGGCTGGCCGCTGTTGGTCTTGAAGTGACCCAGACAGAAGCCTCCTGTAACAGGTTGCCCCGTATAATATTGGTGATCAAATTGTCCACTTGAATCTCCTTCTTGGGATCAGTGCAAACTACTGTGTTGGAAAAATCCAGGGGAGTCTTGAACTCGTCCAAGCCATCCAGGATGAGCAGCGTCCTGGCAGTTCCCGCGGAGATGCAGTTTGGCTCAGTGATGTGAGGGAACGCTGACCGGATGAGCCTCTCGGCGGAGAGTTTCTCATAGGTGTTGAGTTCCCGGAAGGTGAGGGGCAACACAAAAATTATGTCCCTGTTGATCTCCCCCTTTGCCCAGGTGTAGACGAACAGTTTCACCAGTGTGCTTTTGCCAATCCCAGCCACCCCCACGGTCATGGAGATCCGAGGGGGGATGCTGACTTTGGACAGAGGCAGGAAGAGCTTCTCTAAAGGGATGCTTTTGGATGCGTTTCTTAGGCCTTTGGTAGCTTCGATCTGCAGGATGTCATGCTCCTTCTGCTGGATATCTGTCAAGCCCTCCACCAGCAGGAGGTTTGTGAGTCGCTGCAGGGGGCCCGTCTCCAAGCTGTTCCCATAGTAATTTTGGAGGCTCTCCAAATGCTTCTGCTCCTTGAGTGTAAATGAGAAGCACTGCTTTACTTTTCTCCCCTTCCCCTGAAGAGGGGAAACCACATGAAGACCTAACATCCAGGCAGGAAAGTATGTGTCAGGCCCTCAGTGCACTAGTAGGCCTAAATGGCCCTGACTAGTCTCCCTTGGGGCCTCCCCCAACGCCTCCTGACCAGGGGCTCCATTTAAGCTCAGGATTGGGCCTTCAGTCTCTGACTGGGCTATGTTGTAGGTGTACCTGTCTCCAGTTCCATCACAGCTGCATCCGTACCTGTGCCTGTGCCTGGCTATGGACCTTGTTGATCCAGCCCCTGATCTGTGGACTGTCTTCCCAGCCTGACCTCAGACCTGCCTCATCACTGTGCACTTGCCTGGCAATCACTGGACTGGACCGGACCCTAGTTACCTCGCCAGACTTGATCCTGACCTGCAGATTGACTTCCCAGCCATACCTTGGTCAGACCTGCCTCCTCACCAGGGATTTACCTGATGACCTCGACTCCTCGTTGAACCTGGCTACCAGCTGTGGGGCTGTCCTGCTCACCTTGCTCAGGTGCTTTGGGACTAGGCCCTGGCTAGTGAGGCCCCTGCTGCCCTGCCAGCTATGTCATCGTGCTTGGCTCCCTGTCTCTCAGGGAGCAGCTGGCCCTTGCTGCTCCCTGATGGTATATTTAAATCCTGCATCCAAGGTCATCCTGCATCCAAGGTCAGAGGCTGAACAGGCAGGGGACGGTGCTGTGAGAGGTGCAGATCAGATATGTGGCTGCCCTCCAACCAGAAGGGAAAACTGGAAAACCTCCCCTCGCAAAAGGGTGCAAGGAGAGCAGCCAGAGGTGGATGGAGGCCCTGTGGCCCCTCAATGCCCAGCCATCCTCCTCCTGTCACCCAGCTGTTCCCAGCCCAGCTGCCATGCTCCCCAGCCACGCAGGAGCTGTGTCCAGCTCAGCAGGCACAGGGTGGTTGGTGTGATATGCACGTTGAGAGGATTAAAGACTGCTCCAGAGCATTCCCAGACTCACTCTGGACATGTCTGACTGCTGCTCTCATAGGGGCTGTGACTGCACTGGGCTTTCTGTGCTCTGGTGAGGTGCGAGTCCCTTAACAATAGTCATTTACAGCTTTAAATAAGAGTGCAAGATGTCTCATAAAGGATCTGCTTACTGGTGGCTGACAGACTGAGAACTGAACTCCTGATGCCCCTAGCCAGCAAGTCGTTTATCCTGTGCTCCCCAATTACCAGCCAAGCAGCTCCTTCCTGATTGCATTATTCTATCTTCCCCGCTCAAAGCAGCGGGGAAGTTGCATTTCACTACCTTGGTGGCAATTTATTAAGCAGAACCCCGGGAAGTTATTTATATTGAAGGGCAACATAAAACAAGGACCTGAGATGAGACAGAAGCTGATGTTGGGGCTGATGCCTTTGGTTGGTGAGCCCAGAGAAGAGGCCTCCGAGTCTGGAGGCTGCAGTTTGGCATGTCTGAGATGTTCTCCTCGATTTCTCCCCCTTCCCAGGCTGCAGAATAGTCTCAGAGAGTGCATGGCCCACCTGACGTCCTGCTGCATCTCTGATAATGGCATTGCTGCACTGGGGTGGCAGTAGAGGATTCATCCCAATTCTGTCAGACTAACTGAGCGAATTCCTTGGGGCATGCCGTCTTGCAAGGTTAGGTAAGATGTCTGTGCTGCATTCCCCTGGAGATGCCTCTTTCTCTCCTGTGACTCGTACAAGCCTAGACGCTGGCTTAGCCTCTGACCACCACTCTGCTCTGCCTGCGAGGGGCATGAACCATTGCCCCCAGTGTGGCCATTGAGGAATGCCAGGGCTGCCCATAGAGGTGTGCTGAGAGCAGCAAGGAGCCTGGGGTAGCCCGGAGGAAGGCCTCTCAGACTTGGCACACAGCTCTTGTCACCTCCCTCAACCGTGTCCTTCCCAGCCAAGGCTGGAGGAGGCCCTAGGACAACCCCATCACTCATGCAGGGCTCCTGACCCCAGTCGAGCAGCCAAACACAACCTGGCTCTGTGAACATCTCAGGGGTGCTCTGGCAAGCACCCATAGCCAGGGAATGTCCTCACGGACACCCCGCGTCCGGCCCAAATATGGCCTGCCTACCATAGACAGTGATGTGGAGGTAGAGCTGGGAATTGGTGGTCTCGATGAAGGTCTGCAGGGACTGTGAGGCGTAATTGCCCTTGCTAGCCAGGACATCCACCACAGCCTTCACCTGCTCCGGCCCGGAGCTCGCCTCCTGCACACGGCCGGCCTCTTCCGCCGTGAGGATGTCCAGCTTCTGCAGGTAGCAGATGATCTCCTCCAGGAATTGGGGTGAGATAGACCTCACCAGTTGCTTCCGGTAGCGATTGATCCAAGCCTCTGTGGGAGAGGAGAGCAAGGGGGGTAGGGCTTGTAGGGGCCCTGGGTTCATTGTTCAGGGGCAAATATGTCTAGCAAACAGCCAGGACCTTGGGAAGGAAATTCTCAGGACAAGCAATCCGTGGCTTGCTATCCAAATTACAGGTTTAGGAAGGGCAAGGAGGCAGGAATCTGGCTAAAAATAACCAAGGTGGGTGGCACCAATCAGGGCCTTGGATGAATGATGGCCTGCATGGGAGGCAAACGCAGGGCTGCTGGTAGCAGTTGTCCCTGAGAAACCAGGCGAGACAGCCTGCCGGGCTGCCACCGGGAAGCACTTTCCCGAAGATGGGGTAAAAGCAGTTCCAGCACAGAGCCTGGGCACAGGCGAGCTCCATGTGGAGCCAGCCATGTGGCCTGGCATCCTGGGGGAGCCGTGGGACAGCCATTTCCAGAGCTCCCCACCTTTGCTCTGTGCATCCTCCTTAGCTGCTCCCCTGCGAATGGCCCCATCTGGCCTGGTCCAGGTCCTACCTGAGCTTCTGGATCTGACAGTCCTTCACACTCAGCACGCTGCCCAGCAGCTCCATCACGTTGTCCTTAAACTGGTTGTTGTCCAGTCTGAGAACAACACAAAACAGAAGCAAGAAGTCCTCAGGGCAGAAATGCAGACCTCGGGGCAGATCTATCTGCTGATGGATAATGTTGGTGGGCCTACACCTCCCATAGACACCTGAGATTTTGAGTTTCAGAACATAGAAACATGGGAGCAGTCTGACATCCCTGTTTGCTTCTCCTACAGCGACTTACCTGAGGTTGTGGCAGAAGAGGAGCTGGGAGAGCAAACTCTTACAGACATTATAAGTGAGGCAGTTGGAGAGATTTGTCTCCTCCATGCAGACATCAGAGACCTGCAGGAGATAGGCCAGAGCAGAGCAGTTCACTGGCGTTAGCATCCCAGACAAACTCTCATTCTTCATTGCTTCTTCCACAGTCTTAGCAATCTCCATGTGCTGAATTTCATATAGGCACTGCATGGTGTTCACTGTCCTTGAGGAGATAACATAGTCTGTGTTCAGGCAGCCCTGGAGAAAGCTGATTGCTTGGCTTCTGAAGCTGTTGTGCTCATCCTTCACCAGGAGCCATCCAGAGAGCAGCTTGTTCACCTGTGGGGAGAGAAGCCCAGAGAGAAAACGCACAAAGATATCAAGCTGCCCATCCTCTGCCTGCAGGGACCTCTGAACAGCACTCTTGAAGTGACTGAGGAAACCCAGCTTGGGCCAGGACATCCCACTCTCCGTGAAGAGGTCAAATATTGCCCTCTTGGCAGCTGTGTAATAGTAAATGGCTGCTAAAAACTCCTGAATGGTCAAGTGGGAGAAATAATAGGCTGTGAAGGACTGCACCTCTTCTTTGAGCAACAGTCTACCACACAAGCTGCTCTGCAGCAAGGAAAGGTCTATGCCGTACGTCTTCATGTCCTGTTCATAAAACACATACTTCCTTTTGAGCAGGCCGTAGAAAGCCAGTCTGCTCAGGTTACCCATGATTTTCTTGCTGTTGTTCACAGCTTGCTCTATCCTGAGTGTCTCTCTCTGCTTTTCTGGCCAATCACTGCTCAAAGCCATTTTAAAGTAATAGGAATAGATTTCTGATAAGGTCTTAGGAACAACTGTCATTTCTTGGGCTTGATCGGAGCTATTTTTTAGATAATAACCTATTGAAGAGCCAGAAATCCAGCAAAAGCCAGGAACTGTACACATGATGTGTAAAGATCTGTTAGCCTTGATATGACGCAGGACTTGGCTGGATAAGTCTCTGTTGTCGAGGAACATCTGGTCCAAAAAGTCTTTCATCTCTGCAGCTTTGAAACCTCTTATTTCTGTCATGCGGTCAACAAGGCCGCCGGGGATTTGGCTGGCCGCTGTTGGTCTTGAAGTGACCCAGACAGAAGCCTCCTGTAACAGGTTGCCCCGTATAATATTGGTGATCAAATTGTCCACTTGAATCTCCTTCTTGGGATCAGTGCAAACTACTGTGTTGGAAAAATCCAGGGGAGTCTTGAACTCGTCCAAGCCATCCAGGATGAGCAGCGTCCTGGCAGTTCCCGCGGAGATGCAGTTTGGCTCAGTGATGTGAGGGAACGCTGACCGGATGAGCCTCTCGGCGGAGAGTTTCTCATAGGTGTTGAGTTCCCGGAAGGTGAGGGGCAACACAAAAATTATGTCCCTGTTGATCTCCCCCTTTGCCCAGGTGTAGACGAACAGTTTCACCAGTGTGCTTTTGCCAATCCCAGCCACCCCCACGGTCATGGAGATCCGAGGGGGGATGCTGACTTTGGACAGAGGCAGGAAGAACTTTTCTAAAGGGATGCTTTTGGATGCGTTTCTTAGGCCTTTGGTAGCTTCGATCTGCAGGATGTCATGCTCCTTCTGCTGGATATCTGTCAAGCCCTCCACCAGCAGGAGGTTTGTGAGTCGCTGCAGGGGGCCCGTCTCCAAGCTGTTCCCATAGTAATTTTGGAGGCTCTCCAAATGCTTCTGCACCATTGGTTCTGTGCAGAGAAAAACAAAATGGCGGGGGGAGAGGGGCAGGAAAAGGATGATAGCCGTGAGTGTAAATGAGAAGCACTGCTTTACTTTTCTCCCATTCCCATGAAGAGGGGAAACCACATGAAGCCCTAACATCCAGGCAGGAAAGTATGTGTCAGGCCCTCAGTGCACTAGTAGGCCTAAATGGCCCTGACTAGTCTCCCTTGGGGCCTCCCCCAACGCCTCCTGACCAGGGGCTCCATTTAAGCTCAGGATTGGGCCTTCAGTCTCTGACTGGGCTATGTTGTAGGTGTACCTGTCTCCAGTTCCATCACAGCTGCATCCGTACCTGTGCCTGTGCCTGGCTATGGACCTTGTTGATCCAGCCCCTGATCTGTGGACTGTCTTCCCAGCCTGACCTCAGACCTGCCTCATCACTGTGCACTTGCCTGGCAATCACTGGACTGGACCGGACCCTAGTTACCTCGCCAGACTTGATCCTGACCTGCAGATTGACTTCCCAGCCATACCTTGGTCAGACCTGCCTCCTCACCAGGGATTTACCTGATGACCTCGACTCCTCGTTGAACCTGGCTACCAGCTGTGGGGCTGTCCTGCTCACCTTGCTCAGGTGCTTTGGGACTAGGCCCTGGCTAGTGAGGCCCCTGCTGCCCTGCCAGCTATGTCATCGTGCTTGGCTCCCTGTCTCTCAGGGAGCAGCTGGCCCTTGCTGCTCCCTGATGGTATATTTAAATCCTGCATCCAAGGTCATCCTGCATCCAAGGTCAGAGGCTGAACAGGCAGGGGACGGTGCTGTGAGAGGTGCAGATCAGATATGTGGCTGCCCTCCAACCAGAAGGGAAAACTGGAAAACCTCCCCTCGCAAAAGGGTGCAAGGAGAGCAGCCAGAGGTGGATGGAGGCCCTGTGGCCCCTCAATGCCCAGCCATCCTCCTCCTGTCACCCAGCTGTTCCCAGCCCAGCTGCCATGCTCCCCAGCCACGCAGGAGCTGTGTCCAGCTCAGCAGGCACAGGGTGGTTGGTGTGATATGCACGTTGAGAGGATTAAAGACTGCTCCAGAGCATTCCCAGACTCACTCTGGACATGTCTGACTGCTGCTCTCATAGGGGCTGTGACTGCACTGGGCTTTCTGTGCTCTGGTGAGGTGCGAGTCCCTTAACAATAGTCATTTACAGCTTTAAATAAGAGTGCAAGATGTCTCATAAAGGATCTGCTTACTGGTGGCTGACAGACTGAGAACTGAACTCCTGATGCCCCTAGCCAGCAAGTCGTTTATCCTGTGCTCCCCAATTACCAGCCAAGCAGCTCCTTCCTGATTGCATTATTCTATCTTCCCCGCTCAAAGCAGCGGGGAAGTTGCATTTCACTACCTTGGTGGCAATTTATTAAGCAGAACCCCGGGAAGTTATTTATATTGAAGGGCAACATAAAACAAGGACCTGAGATGAGACAGAAGCTGATGTTGGGGCTGATGCCTTTGGTTGGTGAGCCCAGAGAAGAGGCCTCCGAGTCTGGAGGCTGCAGTTTGGCATGTCTGAGATGTTCTCCTCGATTTCTCCCCCTTCCCAGGCTGCAGAATAGTCTCAGAGAGTGCATGGCCCACCTGACGTCCTGCTGCATCTCTGATAATGGCATTGCTGCACTGGGGTGGCAGTAGAGGATTCATCCCAATTCTGTCAGACTAACTGAGGGAATTCCTTGGGGCATGCCGTCTTGCAAGGTTAGGTAAGATGTCTGTGCTGCATTCCCCTGGAGATGCCTCTTTCTCTCCTGTGACTCGTACAAGCCTAGACGCTGGCTTAGCCTCTGACCACCACTCTGCTCTGCCTGCGAGGGGCATGAACCATTGCCCCCAGTGTGGCCATTGAGGAATGCCAGGGCTGCCCATAGAGGTGTGCTGAGAGCAGCAAGGAGCCTGGGGTAGCCCGGAGGAAGGCCTCTCAGACTTGGCACACAGCTCTTGTCACCTCCCTCAACCGTGTCCTTCCCAGCCAAGGCTGGAGGAGGCCCTAGGACAACCCCATCACTCATGCAGGGCTCCTGACCCCAGTCGAGCAGCCAAACACAACCTGGCTCTGTGAACATCTCAGGGGTGCTCTGGCAAGCACCCATAGCCAGGGAATGTCCTCACGGACACCCCGCGTCCGGCCCAAATATGGCCTGCCTACCATAGACAGTGATGTGGAGGTAGAGCTGGGAATTGGTGGTCTCGATGAAGGTCTGCAGGGACTGTGAGGCGTAATTGCCCTTGCTAGCCAGGACATCCACCACAGCCTTCACCTGCTCCGGCCCGGAGCTCGCCTCCTGCACACGGCCGGCCTCTTCCGCCGTGAGGATGTCCAGCTTCTGCAGGTAGCAGATGATCTCCTCCAGGAATTGGGGTGAGATAGACCTCACCAGTTGCTTCCGGTAGCGATTGATCCAAGCCTCTGTGGGAGAGGAGAGCAAGGGGGTTAGGGCTTGTATGGGCCCTGGGTTCATTGTTCAGGGGCAATGGGGAACCACAGCACTGGAGCATCTGATCCGACCGTGAAGGTGGCCCTGCTTGGAGCAGGGTATGAAATAAAGCCCTTCAGAGGGATCTGCCACCTAACAAAGTCCTCCTTGGGATGACACCATCCAAAAGCTGGGGCAGGCTGTTTTATTAGGAGCCGCTTGGTCAAGGCAGCAGCTACAGAAATTGGAGCCAAAGAAACCTAAGAACATGATCCTGAAATGACATTTCTTCCTGGAAGCGGAGTACATGCAGAGACAAAAGTTTAAGGAGACCATTTGTCTGCAGAGAGAGCTGTTCCCACTGTGTCCACAGAGCAGTCCCCAAGCCCTTGGACCAGGAACTTTTGTCAATCTTCACACCTTGGCACCCTATTTTTAATAGAAAACTCTACCAAGGTGATGGATTTCCTTCAACCGCTGCTCCTCATGCTGGCCCACGGACCACAGCTTGGCAACCGGTGTCCTTTGGCATGGATTCTAAGAGTTTAAGAAACCTGGGAGGCCTTTCAGAAGACACATCTCTAGGACTCTGTTGTGTCACTACGCCCCTCCCAAAGGCTATACAAACAGACCTGCACAACCAAAGATGTCCGTTCCGTGAAAATTCCCCATGTCATTCAAGCAGTCACATTTAGCATGTGGTTCTCACGACAATGCAGAACCACAGCCTGGCCTGATGACCCTGCAGATTTCCAGTTTTTCAGCTTCAGCGCTGCTCCATCTGGCTATCTTCTGCCTGCCGAGCTGCCACTCACCTTCCATCAGAGGCCTCCCGTGACATCAGTGATCTCTGGGCAAGGAGCACCCTGTTTGCAGCAGCACAGCCGTCAGCCTGGGCCCACCACCTTCCCATGGACTGCCCCGGTGTCCTCTCTGGAAGGGTCACAGCAGACGGCACATCAGTCGAGGCTCCTGCTGCTGCATTCAGCCTTTATCCATTTTCCTGGTGGAACAAGAGGAAAAGCATCAGTAGCGATGTGGGAGGAAGCCTGCCTTAAGCTAACGCTTTGCTAGCTGGTGTTGAGCGAAGGGTCCATCCCCCTGCAGTGCACCGGGAGCCTGGGGGAGAACAAATCTCCCAGGGCAGGAGGGCTCAGCCTGGTGGGCTGTGGATGAGCCGCCTCCAGTTGAGACTAGCTCAGTCCAGAGAAACATCTGTGATGCGGTTAGCCAAGCTGCCAGCTGAAAGAGCTCAGCTGGAAGCTCCCAAAGGAGGAGCCTCCCCGGCGCTGGCACACAGAGACACCGGCTGAGCCAGGTGCCACAGTCCTGCACCAGCATTGCGACTGCCACAGACAGAGCTCACATGCCAATACTTGGCGCGTCCCTACCTGATCCTCTGGTACTAAAACCCAGCAGCGTTCATCAGCTTTTGATGAATCAGCCTTGGCAGGAGGCAGCGCAGGGGCCGTAGTGCCGCGGCATCCCTGTCCACATGGGCAGACTCCACGCGCTTCTTAGCGCCTTTGCCACAACTACTTATGCCGGCGCTTTTCTTGGGCAGACAGTGATCATTTTAATTGCCCATATGATGACAGCAGTCCTCGGGCCATCTGCAGGGTGCCCAGCAAGCGTTCAAGTGCCAGCATCAGCGCCTGAGGGACAGCAGGACTATGAATTACTTGTGAATTTTCTTTCTCTCTGTTAGAAAGGAAGTTGAGGCAAAACTACAGAGGGCCCATTTCAGTTTCGAACTCACCTCAGAACCCACCCAGAGCCTCCAACACAACTTGCTTAGCGGTAGCAAACACCACATCCTGTTGCAGAGCTCTCTAGACGCTCCATTTTTGGCAGTGCTGATGAATCATATTCCCGCTTAGAGAAGGAGCATCTACCTGCTCCCTCTCTGTGGGTGCTGCAAGACTGCTGCCAAACTACTCCTTTTATTTTCTATGTGTATGTACCTGATCTCTGAATCCAATTGCTTTCAAAGCAGAGAATGCCTAGATCGGGCCCACAAGGCTGTCTCGCTCGGGGTGCTCCCAGGTGACTCATCCCCATGGGGCAGAGAAGCTATTTGCATGGCTACGTTCCCACATGTGCCAGCCAGACGTGCTGCACGGAGGAACCTCACATGCAGACAGCGTTGCCTTTGCCCAGGCCCCTTCACAGCACATCCTACAGAGTAGGGTAGGTGTCCGAGAGGCTTTCGGTTTTGAAGGACCAGCCCCTTTCCTGCAGCCTGTCCCCCTTGACCCTCTGGCAAACCATAGTTTGAGGTGTGGATTGAATAAGCCCTCAAGATGAGGATGGGAAGCAGGTTGCTGTTTTAAGCCTGGCTGAGTCTGAACCCACAAATTTCGCCTCCAAGAGGGAAACTGAGATCCCTCTGCTCCTCCTTGGCTGCCCAGCTCTGGCCTTCCTGTTTTGCAGGGGCCGGACAGAGCGCCATGCTCTCCTCTGGCAGTGGCTGGCCCCACAGCTAAGCCCTCTGCCCAATTCAGCAAGGCTGCCACTTGCAGCTTGACTTGCCTTGTTTTTTGCCCCAGAGCCAGTGGCTTGTGCAGTTAGGATACAGGAGTCAATTAAAGGAGGTCCGTGAGCAACTCACTGTTACATTTTCACTCTTTGCTGATGTCTTGTTGTCTCTAACTGGTCTGGTAAGTTCAATTAAGTCTCTGCATGCAGCAGGCAGTTTCCTCTCTTTGCTGTGTAACCAATAACACGGCCAAAATGAAAGATTTTTTTTTCCTATTTGTAGTGATGTTTCAGTCTTCTCTCCAAAATATGACCAGAGAGCAAAAGCCCTTTGGGGAGAACCTGTTCTAATGCCAGAGATTATCTGATCATGTTCTCTGGTATTACTTCAAAATGCAATACTGCTCTTGGAAGTCAGCAGCCTCCGTTTAGCTCATGCAAAGGGGTCTGACCTGGCGAATAAAGCAGACCGAGTAATGCAGAGTCAGCATTTTTTCTGCTTCCAATAGAAAAGTTTCACTCGGATGCAGCTCTAGGGCAGCCCAGTGGATGGTGGTTTACCCTGAAGGCTGCATCCTAGGAGGGCGAGGGGCGTTACGTCCTCTTACATGAGCTGTCTGAGGCTAGAGGCCAGTCAAAGCCGATCTCTATAACCCATAGAGAGATGCAAAGCATTTCCGGGGCACGAGCTGGTCCATCATGAGACTGCTGGGATGATTTGCCTTCTAGACGAGCCATGCTCCCCAGCGCCTAAAGCTGCAAAGCAGCGTCCACAGCCGTCCTAGGTGGAAGGAGCTCAGCAGGGCACCCCTGCACCCAACCAAAGCCCAGCCAGGTAGGAAGCTACCGCTTCACTATGCTGGGGGCCAGGCAGACCCGGTGCTGGGATGGGGACAGGGAGCAAACAGCGACAAGCGCTTGTAGCTGGCCACGCTTTACTGCTCACCTGGGCCGAGCACCCTCCACACCTCCTGCCACCCTCACCCAGCCAAGGGAGCTTGGGCAGGAAGGATGAAGCCAGGCAATGAGCAGCAGAGCTCAGTCAAGGGTCTCGGTCCCTATGCGTAACAGCCCCCGAGGTCCTAGGACGTGTGGGGCACTTGCAGCCAGCAAACCGAGCCCAATGGGCATAAGAGCCCAAATCCTGCACGCCGTATGTCCTCAGCCCTACTGTCAGCACAGCAAGACACTAGTAAGAGCGACTGTCCCCGCCCGGCATCTGCCTCCCCGGGGAGCAGCGTATCTGCAGAGTGGCAGGCTCCGCCACCCGAGGGGCTGCGGGCAGCTCCCGCTACTTCCTCCCCGGCAGCCTGGCCCAGCCGGGAGGCTGCCGAGGCCGCGTGCCCAGAGGAGCAGTGATCCGGTGACGGCTTGTTTCTGACCTGCCTTGCTGCCTGCATCCCTGGTGGCACCGAGATAATAAGATGAAGTACAGGAGGCTGCGCAGCCGAACTGGCGAATGACATCTGCAAGCCCCAGGGAGGGAAAGTGGGGATTTTGCTTGCAAGAACTTGGCATTAACACTTTTTTACCACGTTTGCTGAGCTCCGAGAGCTCGGCCCAGGGGTAGTGCAGGGGGACTGCGGGGCTGACTCATTGCCTGACTTCAAACATCACCTCTCGCTCCCTTATCCTCTGCCTCCCTTGCCAAGCTTCCTGAGGACTAATGATGAGACTCACTTGGAAAGAGAAACCTTCTTTCTGTTGGTCACCCTGTAGTAAAATTGATCTTTTCCTTCCTATGCTGCACCTAAAATGAGAGCACTCACACGTCACCGACAGAGTCCCAGGAGAATCCATCCACCTGGTGGGTTGCTACAGGATATGGGGCTCTGGGGACATGGGGATGTCCCCCACTGAGCCAGGGTGAGTGGGGAGGTGACACACAAGAAAGCTTCTGCTGCCAGCCCCCTGGGCACGGCAGCAAATTTGCCAGAAGAGATGCCATCCTGCTTCGATTTTTAACAATGCTTCTGTCTTCCAGCAGAACACTCTTCCGTCTGAGGAAGAGTCCAGTCAACACTGATGTCTTCTCACGGAGCTTCGACCATATGTCCTCACTGGTGCCTTGACCATTAGCAGGGAGTAGGTACTGCTCTTCCTGAGTGTTGCTGTGTGCCACTTGCACAGCTCGCTGGAACTGGTGTAATCCCTAATTCTGCATCCAAATCGGTGCCTGCGAGTCCCCGACACGGGGCTGCAAGGGCCCCAGACACGTGCACAGGCAGACGCG